TGTAGTACAAACTAATACGCATGCTTTAAAGGGCCCTTATCCCATATCATGGAAAACCCTATTTTCCTTTCTTTTCAAAATAAAAGTCTCTGATGTAACACATAAACATGTATCTACATGTATTGATGGATACAGTCCATATAAGGAAACTGATCTGCATAAACAGCTCTATTGTGTTTGTGATGTCACTAAATCCAACATATTTGCATGCATCTATTCAGCCAACTCAGCCCCTTCAGAAGTGTAGCCCCGCCCATTCATGCCCAAGTTAAAAGGAGCATTTCACTCCCTATAAAGCACAATACAGGGTAGCCAATAAGAAAAGGGCCCATTTGCATATATCAGCCTTAAAGGCACAGTAATAAGACAGCAGAGGAGGAAAAAAGGTAAATATGAATTATGACTGTTTTGCTACATAAACTCATACAAACTAAATGCAAATACAAATGTATCATATGGGCCCTTTAATGCACTCACTGTTCCAGCAGTACGGCTTTAATATAAAGACATATAACACAGATATAATAATATGATATTACACAACATATAACAGCTGAATAAACACAGATATACATAAATGAACATGAATAAACATGTGATAATAATACAGTGTAATAAAAGGCCTGAAACAGGCTTCATTAAAGAGAAAACAATAAACAATAAATACAATACTATAAACAATAAACACTTTATTGTTTGTTATTTTTTTCTTTATGTAAAGAATTTTTAGACCTGAGTTGCTTTAAACACTCATAATAATATCATATTAGATTTTATTAAATTATTATTTATTATTCATTTTATATCCTCCTAAAAAGCAGGGTTATCCGAGGGTTCTATTTAGAACCATGAGTTCTACACAAAGCCATTCCATGTTTACATGGTTCTCCGTATGGTGAAATGGTTCTTCAGATCGATGGAGAATGTCCGGTAAATAGTTCTAATGGTTCTGTACAGCAACAAAAGGGGTTCTGCTATTGTTACCATGTCAAGCCTGTAACAGCAGAAGAACCCTTTAACAGAACAACAGAAGAACCAGCACATTCTCTATCAGTCTGAAGACCCACTTCACCACGCAAAGAACCATTCAAGACGGCTACTGAATCTAAACAGAACTCAAGGTTCTAAATAGAACTGTTTCTTTTGTTAAAGAACCCTCAATCAAGAAACATCATGAAGCCGAAATCATTTAATCATGTAAATAGTTCTATACAGAACTCATGGCTCTAAATAGAACCATCCCCTTCACTGAAGAACCCTGGAGAACCATCTTTTTAAAAATTGTACTGAATTAAATTCTGCTCTAGTAAAAATGTCTCTGTATATGAAAACTATCATATTTGTACTTTTATTCTACGATGTTTTTGTAAAACAAACATAATTTTAAAATGTAGAAAATAGTAAAAATGTTATAATAAGAGTTTATATTATTATACTAGATAATAATAATAATAACTGATTGGTTATTTGCATTCTAATATTATTATTATTAATAATATGATTATTATTGTTGTTATTATTGTTATTGTTACGTATAATCATATTTTCATGAAACATCATAATGCTAAAATCAGCAAAACACACCTTTAAATAATAATAATAATAATAATAATAATAATAATAATAACAGACGCTGTGATAATAACGGTGTAATAACGGCGAATTAAATCCCGTAAATTATTTTTCGTTTCTATTTTACGTTTTATTTTTTATTCTTTGCTCATCGCGCGCTCTGCCATGCAGGATGAAATAAGGTGCGCATGCTGTGATGTTACATTTGAGCGCGTGCGATGTGAACCGAACTCACACAGCGGGTTAATGTAAATGTGTGGGAACGAGCGCGAGAGTGAACAAATAACTGGACAGCGCGCGACCCCACTGCAGCAAAATAACCCACCCACACACACACACATACGCGCGCGCACACACACACACACACACACACACACACTAAAAAACAAATTAACAAAAAATAAAATCCAACAACAACAACAACAACAATAATAATAATAATAATAATAATAATAATAATAATAATAACACATTTATAACAGACACATAACAGACATATAAACAGATGAATGTTACTCACGCTCTCTGCACGGGCTTCCTCCTCTTCCGTCCAGCGTACATTATTACTATTATTATTATTATTATTATTATTATTATAGAAAATCCAGGGTCCGCGCGCTCACTGTGTAACTCCCTCCATCTTTACTGCTCTCACACACACACGCGCGCGCGCAAAGTTTGCAGTCCGTGCTGAAGAGATCCACACACACTCAGGCGCGCGCACTCACACGCCCACACGCACGCGCCTACTCTCCTGCAGCTCCGCAAAACTCATCAGTGATCACGAGTACTCACAAATAATCACGAACAATCACAAATAATCACGAATAATCACAAATAAACAGCCCGAGTCCGCCGCATCGCTCCGAGCAAACACTCCGCGCGCACTCCAGCGTTGCCTCCTGCAGACCCGCGAGCTGAAATCTGATTAAAAGCTCTTAAATGTGCGCGCGCCCCCTTGAGAGTCACGAACATGACGAGAATAAATCAGAATATTCGACGATTAAAACAAAGTAAGGAGCGAATAATTCCACAGAAGAGCGGTTGTAATGCTGGCGCGTGCTCCTCTTCTCCGCTGCCGAGCTCCCGCGCGCTCCCCAGGACACACACACATACACACGCCCGAGCGCGCGCTCGCTCCCGTGCAGGCGAGAGCGCGCCCAACGCGTCACGGGCTCTCAAAGGCTTAACGCGCTGTATGAATAAACAGATAAACAAACAAATAAACAAATAAATAAACAAATAGATAAGGCGAAGCGGCCGCGCGCGCCCGGATACAGAGCGCAGGTCAGAGCTTCAGCAGCACGAGCGAGTTTTGGCCAATCAGAGAGCAGGCGCGGCGGTGACGTAGATGTTCAGTAAAGCAGGTGGGAGGACACAGGAGCCGCTCCACACTCTCACAAAGATGGGTCCTCAAGGGTTCTTTAGTACAGAGAAAGGTTCTATATAGAACCAGTTGCATGCTCGAAGGGTTCTTTGCATGGTGAAATGGTTCTTCAGACTGGTGGAGAATGTGCTGTCTGGTTCTGTATATAACCGTTTTAAAAATGGTTCCATGTGGCGCCAACAAAGGTTACAAGCTTGACATCTTAACAGTAGCAGAACCTTTTTTGGTACATTTTAGAACCAGATACAGCACATTCTCCATCAACATGAAGAACCATTTCCATGCAGAGAACCATTTAAGCATGCAACTGGTTCTATATAGAACTCATGCTTCTATATAGAACCCTTCTCTTTACTACAGAACCCTTAAAGAACCAACTTTGTAAGAGTGCAGTATTTTATATTTAATATTTATATTTCTTAAATAAGGACTCTTAATTTGAAGAGAAGAGGATAAACACTGGAGAGTGGAGCTGATTGTGAATTAGTGTAACCTGTAAGTGTCTGCTGTGTGAGTGTGTGTGTGTGAGTGTGTGTGTGTGTGTGAGAGTGTGTGTGTGTGTGTGTGTGTGTTTGTGTGTGTGTGTGTGTGTGTGTGAGTGTGTGTGTGTGAGTGTGTGTGTGTGTGAGTGTGTGTGTGAGTGTGTGTGAGTGTGTGTGTGTGTGAGTGTGTGTGTGTGTGTGTGTGAGTGTGTGTGTGTGTGTGTGAGTGTGTGTGAGTGAGTGTGTGTGTGAGTGTGTGTGTGTGTGTGTGTGAGTGTGTGTGAGTGTGTGAGTGTGTGTGTGTGTGAGTGTGTGTGTGTGTGTGAGTGTGTGTGTGTGTGTTACTGAGACTCAGCTGACTCTGTACTCAATAACACTCACAGAATTAATAAATAAAGATTAGAATACAGCAGAAAGGAAACACGATTATAATTATTTTAGTAGTAATACAGTAATATTACATATAAATATAATAATATAGTAGTATAATGACAGAATCAAAATCCCCACAATTCTAGCAACAAATGTACAGTATTTTTATTTATATTACATATATTTATTCGTACAGATAACAGTACTTACTGATATAATTAAATGATTAGATTATTATTAGTTATTAGTAATTAATAGTAATTATTATTAGTAATAGTATTTATCATTACCACAGCTTTACTTGTTAGTCAATAGAAACTCTTTAAAGTAACTAGAGTAGTATATATATATATATATATATATATTAGTTAAAATGTATAATTAAAATATATTTACTATATTACATATTTATTACGTTTAATATATAACATAAAACATATACATATAAAAGTTATATATAATAATATATGTATACATATATATCTACACGTATATAAGAATAAAGATAATAATAATAATGATAATAATAACAATATTTAATTAAATTAGTAAATTATTAGTAGTACTAGAAATATTTGTTTGTATGTAATAGTAACAGTAACAATTATTGTTATAATCAATATTATATATAATAAAATACAATACGTATAATACAAATATAATATCTGCTATATTGAATATATTTGTTATTATGTATTATTTGTTTATAAATATATTTGCATATATATAATAAAGATGATGATAATAATAATAATAATTAATTAAATTAGTAAATCAATTCATATATTTATATTTAATAGAAACTGAAATCTTCTATTATAGTATACGTTATTGTGTTTTAGATTTTTATAAGTAAATAATAATAATAATAATAATAATAGGAGTATTTATTTATATTTATTTTTGTATAGTAATAACAGTACAATTTTGTTATAATTAACTGTAAATTATTAAACTTGTACTTTATTATTATTATTGTTATTATTATTATTATTATTATCATAGCTCTGCTTGTTAAGTTACAGCATATCTGGTAGTTTAAAGAAAACAGGGAGCCTGCTGACCCCTCCTGACCCCGAGTGGTGGGCTCTAACACTGCCCCCTGTACAGAGCTGTGATTCAGCCTGCAGGACGTCCCGCTCTGATCCGCAGCTGCAGTGATGACCTGTCCCCCCTCAGACTGAGCGCGTACTCTAGCGCCCTCTACTGGATAATAATAACACGTTCACGCAGCGCTGGAGTCGTAATAACTCTTTAATAAAGTAAAGAGGTGAATATTGATAGACACGGCAAACACAGAAACGTCTGCTAATACAAAACAGAGCAGAAAGAGGAGCTGCAGTAAAATCAGCGCGAGGCCAAACAACACGCGCTTACACGTTTCACGAGCTGTGCAGGACATTTACAACATCATATAGACTGCATTCATGAGCACAAAAACAACATACAAATAAAAATAAAAATAAAAATAAAGGCTGCGTGGAGCGACGACGACAACAAGAATACATACAATAATAATAATAATAACAATAATAATAATAATAATAATAACAATAAAGTGAATTATACAATGATACTGCATTTAAAAGAAGGCAGGTGGACATCAGCAGAGAGCTGGACACATAAAAGCAGGACAGTGTAAAACAACCGTCCCTCTGTTTCTACAGCAAACAGAGATCTGAGCAGAGTTACTGACCGACACAGAGCAGGGCTTTGGCACTGAGGGGGGGGTGGGATGGGAGAGAGGAGAGAGACGGAGAGAGAAAGACAGAGAGAGAAGGAGAGAGAGAGAAAGAAAAAGGGAGAGAGAGGAGAGAAAGAGAGAGGGGGTAGAGAGAAAGAGGGAGAGAGGAGAGAGAGAGAAAGAAAAAGGGAGAGAGAGAAGAGAAAGGAGAGAACGAGAGAGGGGTAGAGAGAGAGAGGGAGAGAGGAGAGAGAGAGAGAAAGAAAAAGGGAGAGAGAGAAGAGAGAGGGGTAGAGAGAGAGAGAAGAGGGGAGAAAGAGAGAGAAAAAGAAGGAGAGAGAGAGAGAGAGAAAGAGGGCCAGAGAGAGAAGATAAGGAAGGAGAGAAAGCGGTAAAAAGAAAGAAGGAAAGACAGAAAGAAAGAAAGAAAGAAAGAAAGACAGGACAGAAAGACAGAAAAGAAGAGAAAAGGCAGACAAATATAGAGTAAAAAAAGAAAAAGGGGGAAAGACAGAGAATGAGAGAGAGAGGGGGTAAAAGGGGTAATTGGTCGACCAATTCAATTTGGTTCAATTTGATTCTGGTTCTTTAGGAAACGATTCAATGAATCATAAAATCTCAGTTTTCACCCCGATTTGATTCAATATGATTCTTTTGATTCAGTATGATTCTTTTGATTTGATTCAGTGCTTTTTTTAATACACTGATTACAGAAACTGTGACTGCAGGACGTATTTACACAAAACACTGAGCCTTTGTAAAAATAGCTTTACTTTAAAAACGTCCAGAGAGTTTTATCGACCGAATAACTCAGACTTTATCACGACTGATTCAAATTCAAACATTCAGGAATCAACACAGTCCGATCAGATCAGTGCTGCGGACGCTCTGGACACTTCCTCTAACCCAAAACACGCAAAAGAGTCACTCGTCCATCACGGCTGGACGCCCTCTAAAGGCCAAACCAAAACCCCATCTCACCTGTCAATCATCTCTCATAGCTGTCAGTCATCTCCACCTGTCAATCATTTACAGACCTGCTCTTGAAAATCAGGCATTTACTTTAATATCAAAAATATATCGTTACGATATTTAAATGCTTGTGTTTACAGATCGTCAGGCCCCATACAAAAGAGCGAAGTATCGGAAAAATATCGGAACATATTCTCTCATAATCTATGGAATATACTGACTACATACAGTTGTGTGCAAAAGTTCGAGCCCCCTCGGTCAAACCCAGCTGATGCGTCTTCTCTGGGGAGCCAACTTAGGGCATTTTAGTGCATCGGAAACAAAAATAAACGTAAAATAAATAGCAAAAAAAAAACATTTGCACAGGCCTCGTGTTTTCATGCGTTCATCTCACTCAGCGAATGAACAGTAACCTGTGCATAAAAATGTGCCCCCTGCAGAGGACGCTACAGAGTGAAAAAAATCGGACTGACCGGGGGTGCCAAAACTTTTGCACACGGCTGTAAAGCGATGAATTTCTCTCTCTTTTTTGTTTCGTAGGGGCAGCGGACCGCACTGTCCACATTAAGGGCTATTTAGATGCCCTAACCCCCCCATTTTAGCATTCAACGTGAAGATTACGAAATTTTTTTTAGGCACTTAGACAACGTACGAGAAAGTGCGCTCCTCCTCTAAAACCCTTGAACTGTACGGCTCTGAACACTCGGTGTCCCCTCCTTCGGCCACGCCACGGAAAAAAAACAAAAACACATCGTGCTCACTATAGCTGCCACGTTTACGACCCCACCTTTACTGCCCAACACAATCAGTGAACCTGGAGAGAGAGAGAGACAGAGAGAGAGACAGAGAGAGAGAGAGATAGAGTGTTCTGGTTGTAGAGCTGTGTTTATTTGCCCCCCGTTTAGACCCCCATTCAGAAGTGTGTGAAGCACCAGAGCCCAACTGATACAAAAAATTCATCACCGATACCGATTTTAGAGTTAAAGATTCAATAGTTTCACAATTTCGGTTTCATTCTCCAAAATAATGTTGAAAAAAGCTTAAATACGACATGTTTTCTGGACATTTTAGTACTTGATTACTTTATAATTTTGAAAAAAAAAAACAAACATAAAATGTGTGCCGTAACTTTTGCACAGGGCACACTTAACACAAATCAGCAATCGTGCATATTTTGACTTCAACACGTTATCTGATGGGTACCATAACTTACAAACGCATTATTGATGCTTTATCGGCTGAATTTTCACCAAAACTGATAAACCTGTGACTTCAGTATTGGCCGGTCTAAAACATCGGCAAAAAATGTATCGGTCAGGCCCTGGACAATGATTATTATTTTGACATCAGTGAAATTATGAAGAAATGTAATAATTTAGCACTACTAGGCCAAAATTTCGAGAAAATATGTCATTATTATGACATAAGTCAGAATATTGAAAAAACTCATTTTTTTTTTAGATAAGTGAAGATTTTGAAAAATTATCTTTATTTTCACAAAAGTCAAATTGCTGAGAAAACTAAGTACTAAGTATTTCTTTTCGAGAAAATAAGTCATTATTTTCAGATACCAAGTCAAATTTTTGAGAAATGTCAGAATTTAGCAATGCTAGGCCAAAATTGTGAGAAAGTCATTATTTTGAGATATTAAGTCAAATGTTTGAGAAAATGATTCATTGTTTTTAGATAGTATTAACAATTCGAGAAACTGTTATTTTCAAATTGACAAACGTAAGAATTTAGCACTACTTCGTAAAAATTTAGAGAAAATAAGTCATTATTCGGAGGTTCTAAGGCAAATATTTCTGGAAACAGAAGGAGAGACAAAGTCGGGAATGAGCTTCCACACCAGAGACATCTAATTTGGAAATTTTGCCACTAGACTAGCGTTGCAGGAATATTGCTAGAAGGTCTGATCTCAGCAGCTCTGCAGTGAGATCTGATCACATCTCTCTCTTAAAGAAGCATGAACGTGAAGTGAATACGGGTTCTTAAAACCACAGGCAGACAATCTTAAACACCCGATCATATTAAATCTGTTAAAAATGACGCAATAAAGCTGAGCCGAGGCTCCGATCTTCAGACCGAACTACGAAAACATTCAGGAGTGAAAAAGGAAAAAAAAGCTGTTTAATATCAAATCTGCAATCAGTCATATTTCCTTAATATTGAGGTACGAAAATGTTTATAGACGTTAAATTTGGTACATTTACACGTTCATAATGCTATACGATCATATTAAGAATATATATGTGTGTATATAATCGTATTAAAAGGCTAAAGTGTCAGAGAGAATAAGGCACATTGGAAAAAGGCTCATAGATCATATTAACGATGGTCTGCTAACTTGCTGGAGTCGCTCTTCTGAAGGGACGGGAACCAGAAATCCGCTTTCACAAACGTGGGTCAGGAGATCAGCAGAGGAATAAACAGCAAACAAACAGCAAACAAAGCGACGGCTGGTTTGCGGCCCGGTGTCCGTTCACACCGGACACACGGGCTCTGCTACGGCAGGACAGAAGACGCTAGCTAGCATTCGTTATCAACAGAAGTGCTGGACAAGACGGACAGCAGAGCAGTTATCAGCACAAGCAGACACAAAAATGGCTCAATGATGTTTCAACAATCTCCATTAAATGCGTACAAAAATATAAAAGCGTATTTAGAACATAAACAAAAGCAGAAGAATATACGATGTCCTTTATCATGATATTCTGGTTATCATATGGTGGTAATACATTACTGTTTCAGACAGTGGGGAGCAGGCAGATAAAAACAAACTCCTGGGTCACGTGTTCACGGTTTCCTTTACTGCAATAAAATCGTCCATACAAGGTCCATCAAAAGTCCAGTTCAGGTTAGAAACACGTGACCCCTGGGTGTCCCGTTGGCAGGGTGCTGGGTATAGTGTCAAAGTCCTGGACTTGAGTGATTGGCTGTTGGGTTTTTGTGTGTCCAGCTGGGTCATCTGGTTTTTGTTTGTCTGATTGGGCCAGTGTGATGGGCTGTCTGGGTTTTTGTTTGTCTGATTGGGCCAGTGTGATGGGCTGTTGGGTTTTTGTCTGATTGGGCCAGTGTGATGGGCTGTTGGGTTTTTGTTTGTCTGATTGGGCCAGTGTGATGGGCTGTTGGGTTTTTGTTTGTCTGATTGGGCCAGTGTGATGGGCTGTTGGGTTTTTGTTTGTCTGATTGGGCCAGTGTGGTTGGCTGCTGGGTTTTGTTTGTCTGATTGGGCCAGTGTGATGGGCTGCTGGGTTTTTGTTTGTCTGATTGGGCCAGTGTGATGGGCTGTTGGGTTTTTGTTTGTCTGATTGGGCCAGTGTGATTGGGCTGTTGGGTTTTTGTTTGTCTGATTGGGCCAGTGTGATGGGCTGCTGGGTTTTTGTTTGTCTGATTGGGCCAGTGTGATGGGCTGCTGGGTTTTTGTTTGTCTGATTGGGCCAGTGTGATGGGCTGTTGGGTTTTCGTCTGATTGGGCCAGTGTGATGGGCTGTTGGGTTTTTGTTTGTTTGATTGGGCCAGTGTGGTTGGCTGTTGGGTTTTTGTTTGTCTGATTAGGCCAGGGTGATTGGCTGTTGGGTTTTTGTTTGTCTGATTGGGCCAGTGTGATGGGCTGCTGGGTTTTTGTTTGTCTGATTGGGCCAGTGTGATGGGCTGCTGGGTTTTTGTTTGTCTGATTGGGCCAGTGTGATGGGCTGTTGGGGTTTTGTTTGTCTGATTGGGCCAGTGTGATGGGCTGTTGGGTTTTTGTTTGTCTGATTGGGCCAGTGTGGTTGGCTGTTGGGTTTTTGTTTGTCTGATTAGGCCAGGGTGATTAGCTGTTGGGTTTTTGTTTGTCTGATTGGGCCAGTGTGATTGGCTGTTGAGTTTCTGCATGTCAGACTGGGCTCGTGTGATTGGTCATTGAGTTTCTGCATGTCAGACTGGGCTTGTGTGATTGGTCATTGAGTTTGTGCATGTCAGACTGGGCTCACCTGATTGACCGTTGGGGTTTTGCATGTCAGACTGAGCTCATGTGATTGGCTGTTGGGGTTGTGCATGTCCAATTGGGCCCACAAGACTGGCTGTAGGGTTTCTGTATGTCAAATTAAGCCTGTGCGATTGGCCGTTGGGTTCAGATGAGGGGGGGGGGTTCCTCCGCTCGCCTTAAAAATCCAAAAGACGAAGAGCTTCAAGGGAATTCTGCTTCAACCGGGCTGTCGGTCAAGCAGCGGTAGCTGTAACTGTCCAGCTGCCCCTCCACATCCGGATCAGGGTCAAGGTAAACGCGGTACTTTGTGTTGCTGTATATACACACTGAGATAAATGATAGTATGCCAAGCATAACTGCATATGACTTATTCAGAGATATGATATACTGCTGTCGCTGGATGACTGGTACTTTTTTTTTTCTATTTTTTAACAGGTGTGTATTTCACCATCCTAAGTGCATAGAGAGCGAAGTAAAAGGGAGCACATGAGGGCTTCTCGACTACAGTGACAGCCTTTTCCCTTTTTGAGTATTAAGCTTTCTAAATAAATAGAAAACAAAAACAAAAACAAAACAAAAAAAAATTAACAAGAGTGTGCGTCTTAAATGGCTTTCCCCAGAATCTTATCCCCGCAATGAAAAGGTCCTACCTTTTCTACTGCATACTTCATAACTGAGGTCTGGGTGGCCCCTCCTCTACCACACCACACACACACACACACACACACACATACATACACACACACTCTCACACACACACTCTGCCCGCATTCTCCACCACTCCACGCCTCTCTCGCCTTTCGTCGAAACGACTATAAACAATGAAACTAAATAAACCAGAGAAGGAAATGCATGAAAAATTATGAAAATAAATATGTTCTCATGGGTACTTCTTTTTCTCCTCTGGTCAGGGAGTGACCGAATGACCGAATGAACAGGTGAAGGAGTGAGTGTGTTTAAGCAGACAGGCGGGGTTCCACTGGTAGCCTGTTCTCAGAGCGCTACCGTTCCGATCTCTCGTCCTTTTTCAGCTGCAACAGAACGAAACAATATACGAAAGAGTCTGAACATTTACGGCGTCTCCTTTTTCTCCGTTTAGAGAAAAGTGCTGCTTTTGAAAGTCTGTAGGCACATCAGTGGCTGCAAATGGACGGGCTGTTTTCCTTTTTTCCCTAAAAATTGCTGTTTTGGTTGTTGCCGGAAAAACACGAGGTTCCGAGATGAAACGTTCCGTTGTCCTTGATTGGATGGTTGGTGATCTGTAGAAAAAAAGAAAGACCATTAAAATGCCGCTTGAAACACGCTGTAGTGGTAAATACTGAGCCAGTCAAAGATTCGAACATAATTACCCGAAAACAATTTATCTGAAACATTTCATCAAACCATAGTTTTATCATTCATATTTCAACCGAATCACAAATTAACATTTTTATTCAAACAACAACCTCAAAGAAAACTTATTATTCCAACCATAACTTTTACCTTTTATTCTATCAGAACTGTAATTTTAACTAATTTCAACCACAACTATGATTATTTTGTTTGTGAAATAAATTTTGCTAATTTACAAGAGCTTTATTTATTTTCTTCAAACCATAATTTTGCATTATTTTGTCAGAACAGTAACTTTTCTTTTCTATCAGACTGTAAATGCAACTTTCCAAATATATATTTTACACTATTATAAACCAAAGCTAAACTATTTTTTTAACTATTTTAAATTAACTAAGCTATTTTTTTCAGAACCATAACTTTTTTATTTTATCCACACCACAGCTTTAACTAGTTTGACTAGCTTGATTTATCTGAGCCATAACTTTGATCATTTTTCAACACATTTTATTTACCTCAGAGTGATTCAGGGTGGTTTGGTGTGAAATGTCAAATGACGTGTTTATTTTCTGCTTGAAAATAAGTTAAGACGTCCTCAACAGAGAACTTGAGAATACGACCTTTTTTCTGCAGATTTTAGTGTAGATTTGTTATTATTTGCTGAGTTTAACATAGGAAAAAAATAAAACTATAAAAATATGAAATGTATCCTTACATTTTGCACAGGCCTCATTTCAGGCAAATAAACAGTACCTATGGGTTTTAATGTGCAGTGTGTTCTCTGCAGAGGAGGTGTAACTAGATTATACTTAGAAAACCAACAAAACAAGGAACTTGACCAGGGGTGCCCAAACTTTTGCATAGGACTATATGGTCATTTTATTTACTATCCAAAACCACCAGTGAACCTACACGTGTCTTCTGAGTTCTAGATGGAATGTCGATGATGGTAAAATCTGAAACAAATGTTTTTTGGGGATTATTTTTGCCTCATGACGCCCTACATGTATCCCTCCACCACGAATGGATTTTAAGGCCAAAATCTTCTCTAAACTATCATAAAACAGTGTCTCAGTCATCAGGCAGTGAATTCATAACCATTTCATGTAGTAACTTTCTGTGAGGGAGCTTTTAGAGGTGGACGTCTGGTTCCTATCACTACCACTGTGAACAGTTCTGACTCCAGAACGGAGCGTTTCACACCAAACCACTCTGAACGACTCTGTTTACATCTCAACCATTTAATCATGCAGAAATTCTAAAAAGTCGGTGGAATCGCCTGTTGAACCTTGCGTGTTACCTGTGTCTGTCCATTGCAGGTAAGGTACTGCTGCTGTGGGAGCATGCCCTCCTGCCTCAGTGGGAGGTGGCAGGGGATGGTGTTGATGTTGTTTCCCTCTGGTATGGTCATGCTGTTCAGGACATTGTCTCCCAGTCCACTCTGGTAGAAGCATGACCCCTGTGGTGATGTCTGGGTAATGAAGCCTTTCGTCTTCTGGTGAGATGAAATCAAGGCTTCTTGCGCGACTGGATCGTAGCATAGGCCGTTCATGGGGGCCTGTGGTGGCCTCTCAAACATGCAGCTGCTGGCTGGTGCAGGGACAGAATTGGCCATCATATCCGCCTGCTGGCCAAACACTGCATTAGCAGAAGGCTGCATCAGCTCCCCCTGCTGGTTGTAGACACTATTAGCAGCTGTCTGCATTAACTCTCCTTGCTGGTTGAAGAGGCTGTTAGCAGGCGTTTGGATCAGCTCCGCCTGCTGGACATACAATGAACTTGCAGAAGGCTGCATGAGCTCCCCCTGCTGGCTGTACACTGTATTGGCAGAAGGTTGAGGATAGGAGCCAGAGCCAAAGTTAGACTGCATCATTAATCTAGCGAGTGGATCTTCCTCGACATTTTTCGGCTGTCCGCAGAGAACCTGGTGACGACCACTGGGGACATTTGGGATATTGGGGACATTCACAATGTTGGGAATGTTTGGGATGTTTGGCAGCCTTGACTGAACAGACGGGTGGGACGGCTGCCATGTCGGGAGTCTTTGATTGGTCTGATTTGCTATGTTCTGAGTGTTGATAGAAAACTGTCCTTGGAGGCCAGTGCTGGGGGAGGGATTCAATGGGACATCTTGTGGAAGTGAAATATTTTGGCTGTGAGTCTCGCTACTGGGGACCCACTGATTGCTCTGCCTGATTGGCTGGTTCAGCTGGTTGTGGAAGCTCACCGGCTGGGATTGGTTCTGAAGGGTTCGGCAGTGCCACATTGTTTGGATACACCACGCTTCCTGCTTGCATCGATGACTGAGACCCCAGTCCCTGGTCAATTTGTGGCACAAGCCTTGCCTGGTTCTGCTGCCCGGCAAGTGGAGAGTCGAATCCCATCAGATTATTGAAGCTGGGTATCTTCTGTCCTGCCATTTCAGAGATGCCAAACAAGTCTGCAAATGCATCCTGCTGCGCAAGAGGGATCTCCGGACTCACGTGTGTGAGCTTCATCATTCCCCTGCCTGGGCTTCCTGTATCTTGAACACCATCTTGAACACTCAAAAAGTCAGCAAGCTCCTGGCCACCTTGGCCCTCAATCTCTCCTTCCAGCTGCAGCTCGGAGAGGCACTCAGGCAACCTTTTGGAAAGTCCGGGGCTGGTTTCCTTGAACAGCATGTCCTCCACGTATGAGAAGATATCATTGGCCATGATGTCATTGAGCTCAATGGGTGTCTCTGCCTCATTGTTCAAGTTGCTCATCCGCAAGAGGGCATTTTCCCACTCCTTTAACTCCTCCTGGTCCACATTAAACTCTTCTATGGTTCCACACAAGCTGCTGTCTGTAATGATCTGCTGCAGGCTGACCATCATGTCCTGAACCTTCGCTTCTTCTTTGATCCCAGCAGCACCTTCTGCTGTTTCACTGCTAATGGCAGGTTGCCAGGTATTCCGGGGTATGTTGAGCAAGGCGTGGCTGTCCCTGAAGGCCTTCTCCAGGCAGAACTGGGAGTTGGGGTCATTGTTGGCCTGGTAGATGGATTGGTCCTGCTTTAGCCTAGAGCTCAGCAAGGAACTCGGGGCCATCACAGGAAGCTTCCCGCCTTTGCCTTGGTTGGGCATGTCGCCCATATCCAGAGAAGGACCTGTTTCGTAGAGGACGGCCTCCCCGGTTGCAAAGCCGAAGGGCAACTGCAACTTCCTCTGGCGAAGATGTTCCTCACCTTCCTCGTTACTGATACAGAGAAAAACAGAGAGTGACTGATTAAGTGACTCATGTTCGCTGCCTCAAAAGATTTTAATCACTGTTCAAAAAGTTTTAGTTCACCAGAGATCAGCCCTATTTTCTGCAAAAGATCCCTCTGGATAAAAGTGAGTTTGAAAGCCTCACCTTAGAGCTCTCTGCCGCGCCACAATGAAGTCTGGCCGTCCGCCCTTGTAGACTAGTCTGGCGTTAGCCTGCACCCAAATCCAAGCTCCTGACTTGGACAGGAGCCGGAAAATTGTGAATCCACTTTCACCAGTCTTGATCACTGAGAGAAAGAGAGATACCGAGCGAGAGAAAGAGTTCAGTATCAATGTCAACTCAAAGATCGAAACTTGCTTAAAGCTAATTGTCATGCTAGTTTTACTGCTTTACCCACCTTTTAAAGTACCCAACCCCTTAAACTGAAATGATATGAATTATTCGGTAAACATGAGTGGAGAACAGAGAAATTAGACTCGGGTGAGAGTTTGAGTACTGCGTCAAAGTCTTACACGTGTAAAAGTGGAAGTTCGGAGCCAAAAATAAACTCGATTGAAAGCAAAAAAAGTATTAAAAAGTATGAAAGGTAAATGTTTAAACAGACACATAAATGAAAAGTCTACGCTTGCTGTTGTGTGATCTGGTCCTTGTGCAAAGACCAGTTAGCACAGCTGTGAGCGGTTGACGTGAATTTGCTTGAATGTTTTGACGGAAACGATAAATTCAAACGCAATTTGAAGGTTTAAATAAAAACGTACAGAGTAGAACGTGTTTTTTTTTGCTTGGAAATTCAATTTCAATAATACTTGATCACAGTAAAAAAGCATCATTACTCAAGCCTTTTCCACTCCTTGTCGTATGCGTAAGTTTGAACACCCCCGGTCAAATTTTGTTTTATTTCTAAATGAAAACAAGTTAACAATCTTCAACAGAGAACACACATAAATATGGCATTTTAGTGCACAGTTTCTATTTATTTACTGTTTTTTAACACATTGGAAAAAACTAAATTATAACTATAAACGAGAAAACAAACAGGACGTCAGTCGCTGTTACGACCCGGTCTAGGTCAGGCCGTAACAATATGAACAGCGTGAGTACTAAATGTGATGTGGGTGAGGAGACGAAACACCAGACGTAACTATTAAGTTCAAGACTGTATTATGTGACTTAAATGAATACAAACAGTGGATTCTCACACCAGCAACAACGTCCAGAACGGCCTAGGCCAAAACTTTAGCGTTACTCTGACTAAAGAAAACAATTTTCAATGATCTTTCTTGTTATTTTCTTCTGTTTATTTCAAGGCTTGTTTGTAGTACTTTACTGTCGTAAAGTCCTTCTTCTTAATCCAGGGTTCAGTATCCCTAACAGACTTGATTATGTGGTTTGACATCTATAAACATGGACTAAAGTACAGCTTTGAGAGCTGCTGCTACTGTTTTTATTTCTATAATATACTTTTTGTCCATTTGTGTTGATGATAGTGATTAAGGACACAATGTGAAAATGCAGTTATGAGCACAAATCGCACTGACAGATGGTAAACAGTGTTTGTGTTCAGGAGCTCCCGAGTGGGCTGCTGTTTATATTTCAGGGTGTTGAGGCCTGGCGTGTGTTCGATGTGTGATTCGTGTGGTGTGTGTGTGTGTGTGTGTGTGTGTGTTACTCACTCCGCACGTGGTTGTCAGCACAGTACATCATGTCAGCGGCGTGGATGAACTGGTAACCGGAGCCTCTCATACACAGCTCAATCTCAGTGTAACCCAACACCACTTTACCCCTGCGCAGAAAAACAGCACGAACACACTGAAATCACTCCGCACAGACTGCTGACTCGCACTACTGACCGGTTTACGTGCTTTTAATGCAGGCTTATAAATGTTTTCTGTAAGCTGTGAATGCAACAGCTTGAACACCCTGGCCAAGTTACATGTTTCGTTGTTTTATCTAAATGAAAACAGTTCAGTTCAAACAGTTGAGAACTCATGTAAATATAGCATCTTTCAGCTAATCTTACTACACAATTTCAATTTATTTGATGATTTTATTATAAATAATCACAATAATAATAAAAAAAACTTTATTTGCTGAATAAAACAATAAAAACATAAAATATAAACTGTGCAAAAGTGAATTGTGTTTATATTTTATGTATTATTTTTATTTTTCACATTAAACACAAACTTTGGCACAGCCTACATTTTATGTTTTATTTTTCCTCCAATATGTTAAATAAAAACAAACAATAATTGTGCATTAAACTGAGCTGAAGTGTGTCTCTGTAGAGGATGTGTTCACTTATTTACACTTAGACAATCAACAAAAACAGGCCATTTGACCAGGGGCGCACAAACCTTTGCACACTGACCCATAGTAATGTTTTGAGTGTTTTTTGTAGTATTTTCAAAAGTGGCACTAATGATTCTTATTAAACCTCTGAAAAACGAAACACCCTGCGTCATGCGCCCGTCCCCCGGGCCCCGATGACAGCCATGAGAGCCGGCGGGAAGGTGGGACCCGAATCCCAAACACCGGCGAGGGGCGCGAGTGACGGCGGGAGGTGGACGTCGGCCGCCAGAGCAGGGACAATGACGACGATGGCGGCCACAAGAGGCATGAAGGCGGGAAGCGAGTCCTGAAGTCTGCAGCGAGGCTGCTTCACTACACCTGACGATCGATCCAGGCGGCCGAGATGCAGAGCGGGGGAGGCGGAGCAACAAGCTCTCGGCTCAGGTGCTCATGCTGCCCTTATTGAGAGCCAGCTGATGCTGATCTGTAGGTATAGTGAAGCGGCCTCGCTGCGGAACAGGAGGCGGGGCCCAGGCGACATGCCTCTTGCCTCTTGTCGCCGTCATCACTGTCTTTACTAAAGAACACTTGTAGAACTTTTTCAGGACTGTATTTTGGCCTGACCGCCCATCACATGCAGGCCATTGGATTAAATCAGCCTAATCTAGATGCTTCAGCAGTGATGAGTGGAAACCAGTGCGGAGCTGGTTTACCTGGCGTCGACGCCCATGGGGGTGAAGTCCAGCTTGTGTTTGGTCTGGAAGATGAGCGTTTTGCTGCGGATCTCGAGGATGGACGGAGGCTGGAGCGGAGTGGCGATGACGAACAGGGCCAGCTGGGGGTGCGCTATGGTGCCGTCCTCCGCCACTTTGTTCTGACCGTGAAGGTACTTCAGACGACCCTGGAAGTTCAGAGCCTGAGGAACCAGGAGAGAGACACGGAAGGTCAGAGGGCAGGAATGGGACAATTACCAGTTTGGATGATATAATACGGTATAAAATATTATAATAATACTGTTTTAAACTCATTTCAGTCATTCGCTCCACACTTTCATCACATTCCCTGTCTCGAATTTGAGAAATAAGACCTGGAATTACGGAACCACTCGGAAGTCGGTGTGTTGTTCATTATACTGACCAAAATAATTGCCAACACTTAATAACAATGATATCTATTAGCACATATTTCCTAATTAAATCAGTAATCAGATATTTAGATTTCTTCATCATTAATTTATATTCACATTAATTTATAACAAATATATTAGCTATTACTTACTTCTACATCATAATTAAGTTCTAATCAGGCATTTATTCATTTATAAAGTAGCTAATTACTTTATATTTCATTTATAACAAACAAAACAGAAACAAACGGAAAAAATGAAGCAAATTACGGCACATAAACGCAAACTAAGACATGCGAGCTGCTTACACCAAAGACAAGAATAGCAACCACCTGGGAAAGTACGGGTAACAAACAACACACAGGTGGAAGCACTAATCATAAGGCGGAGCTACATGGGAGGAGCCAGGAACAGCATGACAATGTGACATCACTTTAAATTAGAATATAACTTTTCTTTTTGTAAACCACGATCATGTAAAGGTTTATATGTGTCTTACAAAGTATTGTGTTTAGATTAATTAATGGTTCATAGCTTTAAATACCTCATTAGTTTATAATTAGTTAATTATGAAGTAGCAGCTAACAAACTTTGTTATTATAAAGTGTTACCAATAATTTACTGCAGCTGGATTACATGAACACCTTGATTCATTGAAACACCACAAGCAGCTGTGAGTGGTCAGGATGCTCCCAGCACGCCGTGATTGGTCAGAGGCTCATTTGCATACTGTAGCTGTTACCACAAAGACCCATAACCACCATAACGGTTGAGGAACGACGCGCTGGCTGTGGTGTGTTTACCAGAAAGCCGGAGGAGTTGTCGAGGAGGCAGCGGAAGCGGCAGCAGAAGCTCCTCTCTAGGAAGGAGGAGTTTTCTGGTGGGAGCTGCTGGGGGTTGTAGTTGACGATGTTGGTGCTGATCTCGCTGCTCTTCTGCAGGCCTGAATAGAGACGCGTTCAGATTTAGGACACAGAGGAAAAACAAGGCCGGTGATGTAATGCTGGTGAGTCAGAGACGGATCTGATCGCTCCACATTTGCACAACGCTGTGATTTATTCGCCTGAATGAGACGCCAAATCCTGGCTCAATGCAGACCTACAGCTGCCCGGCCCTCTGCAAACATTCCAACCACGTTTGGTAATGACAGGCAGACGCTCGGTCAGAACAAAGCAGCTCCCTGACAGAGCGAGAGGCAAACTGCACCTACACTAGGATTAATCCAGCACTGAAACTGAAATTTGGCACTATAACTGCTCAAAAACTACACTAAAACTGGGCTAAAACAGACACTAAAGCTGCTCTGAAACTACACTAAAACTGGGCTAAAACAGACACTAAAACTGCTCTAAAACTACAGTAAAACTGGGCTAAACCAGACAGTAACACTGGGCTAAACCATATACTAAAACTGGGCTAAACTAGACACTAAAACTGCTCTAAAACTACACTAAAACTGGGCTAAAACAGACACTAAAACTGCTCTAAAACTACACTAAAACTGGGTTAACACACACACTAAACTGCTCTAAAACTACACTAAAACTGGGCAAAAACAGACACTGAAACTGCTCTAAAACTACACTAAAACTGGGCTAAAACAGACACTGAAACTGCTCTAAAACTACACTAAAACTGGGTTAACACACACACTTAAACTGCTCTAAAACTACACTAAAACTGGGCTAAAACAGACACTAAAACTGCTCTGAAAACTACACTAAAACTGGGCTAAAACAGACACTAAAACTGCTCTAAAACTACACTAAAACTGGGCTAAAACAGACAATAAACTGAGCTGAACCAGACACTAAAAGTGCTCTGAAAATGCACCAAAACCGGGCTAAGCCAGATACTAAAACTGGGCTAAACTAGACACTAAAACTGCTCAGAAACAACACTAACCGTGGACTAAGCCAGACACTAAAAGTGGGCTAAACCACATACTGAAACTGCCCTGAAACTATACTAAACTGGGCTAAAGCAGACACTACAACTGCTCTGAAATAACACTAAAACAAATCTAAAACAGACTAAAACTGCTCTGAAACTACACTGAAACTGGGCTAAAACACACACTAAAACTGGGTTAAACCAGATACTAAAACTGCTCTGATAATTACATTAAAACTGGGCTAAACCAGATACTAAAATTGCTCTGATAATTACATTAAAACTGGGCTAAACCAGGCAGTAAAACTGGGCTAAACCAGACAGTAACACTGGGCTAAACCATATACTAAAACTGGGCTAAACTAGACACTAAAACTGCTCCAAAAATACACTAAAACTGGGCTAAAACACTTAAGCTAAATGTACCTTAAACAGCTCTAAAACCAGCACTACAACTGGGCTAAAAACCAAACTAAACTGACCCCACTGCGGTGTAAAGTCTCAATGGTCACTAAAACAAGAACAATGGAACAAAAAGGCTAAACAGCACTAAAAAGGCACTAAAGTGGCCCTAAAACAGTTCTGTAGTTACATCAACATTAGACTTAGTCACTCACCCTCAGGGTCGTCAGACAGGTCACACTGTGTGGGGTTCAGGGCGAAGTGCAGCTGCCGCCGGAACATGGCCCGGTCATCTGTGTGGATCAGCTCAAACACACTCTGATGCACCACGTCCGACTGCGCAGACAAACAAACACACAAACAAACACGTTAGAAAACAAACACTAGAAGTTCTCTGCATACTTTGTTACCCTGTTCTTCAGTGATCAGGACCCCCATGGACCCTCGCAGAGCAGGTACTATTTGGGTGGTGGGTCATTCTCAGCACTGCAGTAACACTGACGTGGTGGTGGTGTGTTAGTGTGTGTTGCGCTGGTCTGAGTGGATCAGACACAGCAGAGCTGCTGGAGTTTTTAAACACCTCAGTGTCGCTGCTGGACTGAGAATAGTCCACCAACCAAAAATATCCAGCCAACAGTGTCCTGTGGGCAGCGTCCTGTGACCACTGATGAAGGACTAGAGGATGACCAACACAAACTGTGCAGCAGCAGATGAGCTATCGTCTCTGACTTTACATCTACAAGGTGGACTGACAAGTTAGGAGTGTCTAATAGAGTGGACAGTGAGTGGACACAGTGTTTAAAAACTCTAGCAGCACTGCTGTATCTGATCCACTCGTACCAGCACAACACACACTAACACACCACCACCACGTCAGTGTTACTGCAAATAGTACCTGCTCTGTGAGGGTTCATGGGGGTCCTGACCACTGAAGATCAGGGTAAAAGGGGGCTAACAAAGTATCAGAGAAACAGATGGACTACAGTCTGTAACTGTAGAACTACAAAGTGAAACTATACGGTCAGTGGAGCTGATAAAGTGGACAGTGAGTGGAAATACGGGGAGGTGTATTAATGAAGTGACCGGTCTGTGTAAATATATGCAAAAGTTAGAACACCCCCGGTCACATTCTGTACTGTGAACACAGACATGCTGCGCTATGTAAACTACTCACGCTTGTTTAACTGACATCAATGTGAGCGGGTCAGACTGGATTGTTGCAGTAAACCATGAACACACACACACACACACACACACACACACACACACACACACTCACACACACTCACACACTCACACACTCACATGCTCACACACTCACGTAGGCAAATTCACACGCCAAAGTGAAACCATCAAATATGTCAGATGCCTGAAGTTTCTCTTGCACTGCAGCTACGAGGCTAATAAAGCTAACACACTTACACAGGCTAACTGTATGGCTGTATGTTTAGCCACACGGTTAGCTTATACACGCTAACTGTATGGCTGTACGTTGAGCCATATGGTTAGCTTATGCAAAGGGCTCTTTGAGTGTTCATGGTTCTATGTAGAACTATTTTCTTCACTAAAGAATCACTACAGAACCACCTTTTTAAGAGTGCACAAATTCAACACACTGCTGGTTCTTCAAGGTTTCCTTAGTAAAGAGAATGGTTCTGTTTAGAACTGAGTTATTTATACAACCATTTCATGCGCAATTAAAAAAGCTGGTTCTTTAAGGGTTCTTTAGTAAAGGCAGTGGCTCTATATAGAGCCATGAACACTCGAACCATCTGCATGATTAAACTAATTAAATATTTAGATTAATCATTTAATTAAATATTTAAGTTGAAAGAAATACAGTTATACTATGTTTTTTTTTGAAGTTCAATATATATTGAACTTTAAGATTAAAATATTGAATTAAAATATATATATATATATAATATATATATATATATATATATAAAACCGTATGGATATTTGTTTTTCAGTCAAATTATGTTTAAAGTTTAAGGAAAAAAGTCCAATGCCTGTATATTTACACATTTTATATTATTCCTTTAATTTTTAAATACTTTTAAAAAAAAATTTCATTTATTAATTATATTTAAAGTTGTAGGAAATTCACTTTAAAAAAAAAAATTAAGTTTGATATATTTATATACTATATTTTATTTATTCATCTTATGTTTTACATTTTTTACTTGTTTTTCTGTTGAATTATGTTTAAAGTTGAAGGAAGTTTTCTTTTTTAATTTCAATCAGTGTGTGATGTTTCCAGACTGAATGATTAATCGTGTTCAATAAAAAAAAACGTCAATACTGATGAAAATAATCATGATTATGATTCTTGCCATAATCGAGCAGCCCTGCTTTAAGGTCTGCTTTAAGGTCTGAAGGGGTTAAAGCGTCGGTTCTCGCTCTGCTCTGCGTTTCCACCAGCGCACCTGAGGCAGGTGTGAGTTCTGCTTTAATGTCTTTGCCCGACAGTAAACGCACTATGTAAACAATGGAGAGGTTGTTCGAGTCTCATGACCCCCCCATCACTTTCTCTCTCTCTCTCTCTCTCTCTCTCTCTGTGAATACAGGTCTTTCTGGTTCGCCGTCACTCACGTTATAAAAACATCTACTATGAAGCCGTGTGGAAGTTCTGTATCCGAGGCCGAGCCTGTCTGCGCCTCTGTAAACAAAACTCAAACATCTGAGGCTCGACTGGTTTCCACGGTTTCATTTCACTAAAGTGCAAAAAAGCTTTGTTAGCATGAGATGAAACACTCTGCCGTGATGACATCACAAACACGGCCTAGATAACTTTTATATTATTATAAATAATTATTATATTTTATTATAATTATTATATATTATTATATTTTATATAACTGCAACAAAATATCTCAATATTCAAGACTAATTATAACTATATATATATATATATATATACCAAAAACAATATATACTAATAACTGATTTGAAACAATAAGCAGTTCTTCCACCAGGCGCTGCAGTTCGGTAACAGTAGAATATGGTTGCCAAGCAACCTAAAAAGCAAAGATTGTGAATCCAGAATTCAGCTGATGTGTGTATTTTGATTACGTTACGGATATCGATAACGGCTCATATATATACAGACAATGAGGATGTATATCATATATACGATATAAACATACAGTCAATGTAAATATCATATATAACATATATAAAGCCAATGAGTGTGTATATCATATATATCACATATACAGTCAATTAATGTATACACCATATTATATATACAGACAATGAGTGTATACATGAGTGTACGCAATCAGAGTGTATATACTGTATCATACATACTGTCGTCAATATAACGGGAATGCTAAATGATTTGGGGGAAATATCTACTTGCAATTTTCTACACGTTTTAGTTATTATTATATATTTCTACAGATAAATATTCTATAATCCAATATTTTTATACTAAAATACTGTCACTGCAAATTAAATACTGATTATTTGTGGTTAGAAAATTAAAGCCAAGACGACCCATAATATCCACTTTCTCTGGCTGGAGTGCTTGTGTTGAACACAGCACACAGGTTTTTGTTTGTGTGTGATAAAAAAATAGAGCTATTATTTATAGAGTTATTCGAGTTAATAGATTAATGTTTTATACAACGACATACATCAATAATAAAAGTCCCAAGTTTGCAGTTTGGTGATAACAGCTTTCTCTCATTTAATATGTGCATTTAATATAACAAACAAAACATCATCACTCGCATTAAAATCACTCTGAAAAGCTCAGCTTTTATCAGGCAGCGTGAGGAAGAGGAAACACAGGAACAGAAAAGCCGGCTGTGTCATAATCAGAGCTGAAAACACAGTGAACTTCCTCAACCTGACACTCAGATACAGAGAGATAAACTAATCCAGAGATTCCTGACAGAACAAACCTCCATCAGCCTGAGACAGCACGTCCTTCAGCACCTGCTCCCACACACGGCTCCACCCACACACACAGCCCCGCCCCCGCAGTTCAGCCAATCAGCCGAGGCCTGTTTGATGTCTGTAGTCAATCTAGTCTACATATATATATATATATATAGTATTTATTATGAATTATTCAGTATCTACTATGAACTACTATTCATACTCATATCAAAAAGAGTTCTGCTATTGTAACAAACCTGACATCGTAACAATAGTAGAACCCTTTTCAAAGAGGTTCTGTGTGGAACCATCTACAGCACATTCTCCCTCAATCCAAAGAACACTTTCAAGATGCAAAGAACGCTTTAATGACGCAAAGGGTTCTTTGAGTGTTTATGGTTCTATGTAGAACCATTTTCTTTTTATCGTTTTATTAGTTTTCCTGAGTCAGTCCTGAGATCAGGGGGTGCTGCAGCCCCCTCAGCCCCCCCCCCATTCCTTGCTTCACTGGTTCTAAGTGAGGAGAACTGAAGTGTGGACCCCCATTACGTTTTTCCTGACCACAGTGAGAAAACATGGCTGTTAAAGGAGTTTCAGGTCCAGGTTGGTGCTGTTACCTGATGGAAGCCCAGGTAGTCCTGTATGGTGGGTGAGGAGTAGAAGACGTAACCTTCAGCTGTTATGACCAGAACGAAGCCGTTCAGAGCCTGAGGAGAGAATCACACACAGAGGAGAGGAGAGATCAGGAGTTATGACTATAATAACACAGTTATGATTATAATAATACAGTAATGATTATAAGATTATAATAACACAGCACAGGAGCACACAGTGTTACTGAAACACCAGAACACAGTACACAGTGACAGGAGTTTAGGACCCTGTGCACGAGAGTGGTCTGAGTGTGTGTGAGTGTGAGTGTGTGTGTGTGTGTCTGTCTGTGTGTGTCTGTCTGTGTGTGTGTGTGTGTGTGTGTGTGTGTGTGTGTGTGTGTGTGTGTGTGTGTGTGTGAGGAAGGCGGCCAGTTGGCCGTAATTAGCCGAGCCTTTGTTAAGGTGTTGAACACGACAACAAAGAGTGAGAGAATACAACCGCTAGTCACGCAAAGGAGCCATCAACAACGAACAATAGAGAGAGGAGAGAGAGAGAAAGAGAGAGAGGAGAGAAAGAAAGGAGAGAGAGGAGAGAGAGAGGAGAGAGAGAAAGAGAGGGAGGAGAGAAAAAGAGAAGAGAGCGAAAGAGAAGAGAGATGGAGAGCGAGAGAAAAGAAAAGGAGAGAAAAAGAGAAGGAAAGAAGAGAGAGAAGAGCAAGAAAGAGAGTGAAAGAGAAAGAGGCAGAAGATAAAGACAGGAGAAAAAGTGAGAGAAAGAGAGATGGAGAAAGAATAAGAGAGGCAGGAGAGAGAGACTGAGAGAAATAGGGAGGAAAGAAAGCAGAGAGAGAGGGGAGAGAGAGAGAGAAAGAGGAAAGAGAAAAAAAGAGAGAGAAAGAGAGAGGAGTGAGGAAGAATGAGAGATAGAGAGAGAGAAAGAAAAAAGGAGAGAGATGAAGTGAGAAAAAGACAAAAGAAAAGAATAGAGAGGAGAGAAAGAGAGTGGAGTAAGAGAGAGAAGATAAAGAAAGAAAGAAAGAGGAGAGGAGGGAGATGGAGGATAGAGGAGAGGGAAAGAGAGGGAAAAAGAGACAGAGAGAAGAGAGAGAGAGAGAGAGAGAAGCTGAAGAAAATTTGTCAACATTTAAGTCAAAACAATAGACAAAGAGAACCAAATAAGACAAAAACCACAAACAATTACAAACAAACAAAGTCCAGAATTCACAGCTCCATTAAATGATAACAAGCTGTCCTGGTCCAATAGAAGCACAGCAGCCCCAAACTATGATCCTGCCACCACCATGTTTCACAGTTCCAGTGTTCAGCTTTCCCAAACATAACATTTCTCACTTCTCACTGTTTTTCCTCACATTTCATTGCTCGTCTCACACTTAAAAAAAGATGGTTCTTCAAGGGTTCTTTAGTAAAGGCATGGATTCTGTTTAGAACCATGAGTTCTGCATGCTTAACAGGTTCTTTGCATGGTTAAATAGTTCCTCTATGTGTGGTATGTAGTCCTATTTAGCACCAAAAAGAGTTCTTCTATTGTAACAAACCTGACATCGGAAGAATAACAGAACTCTTTTTGGTGCTATATAGAACCCTTTTCACAAAGGTTCTATATAGAACCATCTACAGCACATTCTCCAACAATCTGAAAACCCTTTCACAATGCAAAGAACTCCCTTAAGCATGCAAAGGGTACTTTTAATATTCATGGTTCTATATAGAACCATTTTCTTTACTAAAGAACCCTTGAAGAACCATATTTTAAGTGTGTAGAGTATTTAGTTGTTCTGATGTGTAATAAGTTGGAACAGACAAATTAGAACTAGTGCTACATACAAAAATTGATAATAATAATAATAATAATAATAACCTACAATTATTATGATTTTTATTTAGCGATTTACAAGCTGCACAGCACCAAATCCGATTAAACAGGCCTAATTCTGCTCACTTTGTAATGAAGCATGGTCAGTCAGTGTTCTTTAAGTACTGACCAAATTCACGATACGCTCAGAAAAGCATATTGTGATATAATTCATCACAATAACAACAGAATATCATCATATTGCCCACTATGTTCAGCTCTAACAATGAGCAGATGTGTGTTTTGTGTATACATCTGAGTGTGTGTGTGTGTGTGTGTGTGTGTGTGTGTGTGTGTGTGTACCTGCAGCAGTAATTCTCCCTCGGAGAAGCTGACCCCATCCAGACTGCTAGTGGCCTGCCCGTTTCCTCCAAATCCTCCCCCTGACCGCTCCACCGGCCAGGCTCCGCCCACACCGTTCTTCATGGTGGCTAAACGAGAGAGAATCACAGTTCAGACACAGGCCTGCATTATAAAACAATCAATATAATGATCGGAAGACTTTTCGTCAACTTATGAGATTTTATTCTATTTTCTTCATTTATTATAACTTTATTATACAGTATACATTTATCAGTGGTTTATATTACTGAATATAATGATTCAAAACTTTTTAACAGCAGTCGAACCTATAAGGTAGGTGTTTCTAATAAAGTGGCCAGTTTGCGGAAGCACAAGGTAGGTGTTTCTAATAAAGTGGTCAGTGTGTGGAAGACAAGGTGGGTGTTTCTAATAAAGTGGCCAGTGAGTGGAATTAGAAGATGGGTGTTTCTAATAAAGTGGCTAGTTAGTGGAATTAGAAGATGGGTGTTTCTAATAAAGTGACCAGTGAGTGGAAGTAGAAGGTGGGTGTTTCTAATAAAGTGGCCACTTAGTGGAATTAGAAGATGGGTGTTTCTAATAAAGTGGCCAGTTTGCAGAAGTACAAGGTGGGTGTTTCTTATAATGTGGCCAGTTAGTGGAATTAGAAGATGGGTGTTTCTAATAAAGTGGCCAGTTTGCAGAAGTACAAGATGGGTGTTTCTAATAAAGTGGCCAGTTAGGGGAAGCACAAAGTGGATGAATGTTCTGTTGCCATGAGAACCAGTACTGTATTGTTCTGTGTTGTTGTAAATAGTGTATTATTGATTTGAACCTCAGAGACTCGTTCATAATTTCCTTTACACTGCAGCCACACTGCTGTCCCAGTCATAATCACTGCTGTTTATTATGTGATGCCTGTTTATTTGAAGGATGTGATTCATCCCAAAAATGTGAGCAGAACACACACACACACACACACACACACACACACACACACACACACACACTCACTCTGATGTTAACACACATATTTCATTGAGTTCTGCACAGTGATTTACGCAACCGGCAGGAGGAACATTCCAGTAAAAGCTTTTGTGAAATATGCATGTGAAAACAAAGTGATTTTGTGCTGAAGATGAACAAACACATCCATCAGCCCCAGTGAGCTCTGCCTGCTCTCCAGAGCCTGAATGTACGCTGTCAGACCACTGATTGGTCAGTTTGACAGATAGGCTGCACCTGATTGGTCAGTCTAGTGTTTGTGGCTGTAAGATGAACAGATCCATCTTCCAATCTACACCACATTCGGATTTATAAGCAGAAGAGAAGATCGTTTATATTTGATGGAAAGTGATTTTTTGACTGCATTTGAACTGAGCAAAATAGCACATGAATGTACAGGAATACACATCATGTATGTATGATATGGCACATAAAGTATATATCATATATACTGAGTCTATATCATATACATCATAATACAGTCAAAAAGTGTGTATATCATATATAAAAGAAGTTTATATATCATCATGTATGTCATGTATATATGATGTGATATATTATATATATATATATATATACATATCATATACACAATCAAAGAGTATATATCATATATATATATATATATATATATATATATCCTCTGTAGTAGACTCTCCTCCGCTCTATCGCTTTAATACTCCGCTCTGTCCTCTGTAGTAGACTCTCCTCCGCTCTATCGCTTTAACGCTCCGCTCTGTCCTCTGTAGTAGACTCTCCTCCGCTCTATCGCTTTAACGCTCTCTCTATCCTCTGTATTAGCTCAGATTTCCCTCGTAAGCCTGCGGCTCTCCAGCTGAGCAGCCACACAGACTCGCGTTGTATTTATAACTCCAGCTCTGCGTAACCTGTTATTAAATATCATGGATATGAGCAGAGACTCAGCACAGAACCAGCATAATGATTATAATGATCGATCAGAGCCACACAGTCTCACTCAAATAACAGACTTCATCCAGACCAGAGCAGTCAATTACAGAGAGAGGGAGAGAGAGAGAGAGAGAGAGAGAGAGAGAGAGAGAGAGATGAAGAAGGAGGGGGGAAGAAAGAGACAGAGAGAGAGAAAGAGAGTTTTAGAAGTGAACATCAGTGGCACACTGTAGTGGCTGCAGTGTGCAGTGTTTTTACCGGAGGATGAATAAAGCTGTAATAAAGCTGTAATACAACTGAATAAAGCTGAATAAGGCAGAAAAAAGTAATAAATTGAATAAAACTGTAATAATACTGAATAAAGCTGTAATAAAGCTGAATAAAACTATAATAAAGATGAATAAAACTGAATAAAGATTAATTAGGCTGTAATACAGCTGAATAATACTGAATAAAGCTGTAATAAAGCCGTAATAAAATTAAATGACGCTGTATAAACTCTCTCCAAAGCTGTAAAACAACTGAATAAAACTGAAAAAACATGAATAAAGCTGTAATAAAGCTAAACATGATTAAAGCTGTAATAAATCTAATATAGCTGAATAAAACTGTAATAAAGCTGAATAGCACTGAATAAAGCTGAATATAGAAAAACAAAGATGTAATGATGCTGAATAAGTAAAGCTGTATTACAACTATTTAAAGATGAATAAAGCT